GTAGAATCAACGTTATTCTTCTCTAAATACATACACAAATACAATACGATATTTATTGTGATTCGGACGAACGAGAATGACTGGAATACCTGCCTTAATACCATTTCTCTCCGCTAGGTTACGCTCTTTGATACTAAAACATATCAGGGCCGCCATCTTGGTNCAGGGTCCTGAGCGTCAATAGAGCGCTGATTATGTTTTTTTTTTTTAAATGAGTGAATCGTTGGTTTTGGTTGAGCTTCGGAATTCCCTCACGTTTTCATTGAAATAATGTAAGAGACGATGCGTTGGTGTTGGATAAGAAATATTCGGTATGGTAAACGTCTTTAAAACAGTTTAAGAACATTACATTTCATAATTGTTCATTCTTCACATGAGCATGTCAAAACGAATGTTTATCTGACGCTAAAAGTAATGGTCATGTCGAGCGCCCGTCTGAAACAAACAATATTGACTGAAATAGTCATGCTGAATCATGGGTCACAACGGCTATATTGTGCACCAAAAAGGAGTAATTGCAAGAAATATTAATTTGATTTTTTCCCGCGAAAATGTCAAGAAGCCTTCTTTGGAAGGGACATACCCATTGGATATAAAACTGTCAAACTGAAATCAACAGGATTGAAAGACCCGATTTGTCGTTGTAGTGTTCAAGCGTAGCATAGCGAAGAGTAGAATAACTACGTGATGGAATTTTTGTTGAATCATCAGAACGTCATGTTTGAATGAATCTTGTCCATGGTAGGTCACCAAGTTCGTGTGTTATTCCCAGTAGAGTCAGTGACGTCATTTTAATAAAATTCGATTGATTTTTATTCATTCACTGACCGATCTCTTCATGTTTGTTCTACTAAATATTATGTGTCCTTCATAATGCTATTGTAATTACGACTCATGTCAGTATATTAAGCCGTAAATTAAGCCGGTTTGTTAAGCTTGGTGTATAACACCATATTGGAATATATGAATTGACATAGCCGGTATCACGTGACTAATTCAAATCAATTATTGAACTGCAGTAAATGAATGTTACCTACAAGAACATTTTTTTCTTTAAGGACTATGTATGGTTTGGGTGTGCATTAGAATTCAAAACCTTTAAATGAACTATCAAACGACCCTGGTTTTTTTTTTATTTTGAATACTTCCCCGGTACTAAAAAAACAGCGTACAATTATATACACTTTGTGCACTTGCCACTTTCATCGAAGCCTTACG